ATGTGTTCAGCTGATATTTAAAATGATGAACCAGAAGTGGTTCTGTTTCTTAAAATCAAAGGGAGGGGTCTTAATATAGAAAAACACTTAGCAATCTGTGTTATGACAACAATTTAACTGTAAATACCTCACCTGTACCATCAGACTACAAGCAAGGCTACAGTCAGCAAAATTTGTTCATATACACAGAACTTTAAATGAGATTATTCAGGCCTCAATCTTCAGTGACCATGTTCATTAATAAAAGTTTGCAGGAAGAAAGACAACAGTCCTGTATTACAAATAGCTGCGTGAAGACAGAATGAATCTAGGTAGGAAAAAACAGGCAGTACTTTTTTTAAGAGAGAAGAATAGAAACCTTTTGGAAAATGTTATTAAATGTTCTTAAAAGAAACTGAAAATCAACAAAAGGTTTGGAATATAAAGCCAAGGAAATCTCCTAAGAAGTGTGTTTAACAATGAAGATAGGACACATAGGAAAGGTAAACCATCAACCAATCAACAAGGAAATCCAATTATCAGACAAATTGGACTTCCAATAAGAGATAACAGTGAAGAAATATTATAGAGCAAATCATATAAGAAAATTTCTCAGACCAGAAGACCGTGAGTTTATAGACTGAAAATATTCATCAAATACTGGAAAAACAAAGGAAGAGACAAAATATAGCGAGGTGCAGCAACGTATTTTAGAGCATCATGGGTGACAAGAGTATGTCCTAAAAATGTCCAGTGGAGGGTGTAGAAAATCAGGTCAGAAGTCAGGAGGTTATCTGACTTCTCAATAGCTACATTGCAAGTAACAGGAGAAATTCCTTTAAAATGAGAGAAAAAATTCCTTTAAAATGAGAGGAAAAATTATTTTTAGCCCAGCCTTCTACACACAGTCAAACTAAATCACGTGTGACAGTGAAGACAGTTTCAAACATGCAAAGATCCAAAATTTTACTTTCTATGCATCATTTCTCAGGCACTTCCCGAAGGATGGGCTTTTGTAAAATGAAAATTCAAGAGAGAGGAAAACATGGATCAAGAACCAGAGAAAGTAACAAAAGCCAAGTGTGAGAGCATCCACCATGTGCTGAAGTGTGTAACAGACCATTAAGTATCTTGTCCTATCACCAGGCCCTCACCACTTCAGCTCAGCCTGGACAGCTTACACCTGTCAGTTCAGCTTCCTTAAGCCCAGGCTTTTCCAGAACTGTTTTAAGTCACTCTGATTTTCACTTAGCAGGAAAAATGGAGGTAAGTAACACCTCCCAGAAGCAGCTCTCAGTTAACAACTGATGGAAGTTAGCATCACTACCCCAGCTCCCTCGCCTTGGGTGACTCTCCTGAGGTGTGAGTTCAACATATTTACCAGTTTCCCCCTGGCATTAGGCTCCTGGCATCCTAAGTGGCTTTGTAACACATCCCTTATTGGCTGTCTTTCCTTCCCTGTCTCACTGCCGTACTCATCTCCTGAATAGGGTGTTTCCTGAACCTTCCAAATCAACTACTTATCCTTTCATTCCTCTCTCAGGGTCTGCCTCTAGTGGAACCTGAATTAAGACCATGTAAGAGGGTGGAGGGTCCTGAGAGGAAGGTCTGTATGGACTGGAGGGGAGTGGATAAGCATCTGATACCTCTGAACATTGGAACAAGGCTGGTAGACTGAAAAACCTCTTGGAGCAACTAAGAATTGGAAATAGAAATATAAAAACCTAAGCTAGCAAGTAAACAACATCACTAGAGAGGGCACTAACAACACCAGAATAAAACAGAAGAAAGTTGTAAAGAGAGGAACATGCTTACAGAACACTACTTGATTTATTTCAGTCATGGCATTTTAAAGTTATTATTGATTTAACTGAAATTGTGCAATAACTACCTTGGGAAAAGGAGGAAATGTAGATGATTAAGTTAGAAGATGACTGAACCTTTGTCTGTATTCAACAGACAAATGGACAATTCATTAAAAAGTAGGAAAGAAAAGCTACTTAAAATATGGTGATAAGTACCAGGGAAAAAAATGCTGCAAGAGATGACAATGTTTCTCTGAGACCAGGGAAAAGGAATTGTGTGGATCCAGTTAGCGTATCATATGTTAAATGTTCTTCTATTTTAAATTAATTTTAAAGATAAGTGATAAGTCAAGAAATAGTTTCACTTGTCATGTGGTTTACTATTTATAATCTTATAAGTTATATAATTTATTTGTTGTTCAGTCACTAAGTCATGTCCAACTCTTTGCCACCCCACGAACTGCAGCACACCAGGCTTCCTGTCCTTCACTATCTCCTGGAGCTCACTCAAACTCAATGTATACTTTTATATAATTTATAACTTAAATATATAATTATAATTTTATAAAAATTAACAATTTAAATGTGAAATTTAAATTTAAAATGAAATGATAAACAAAAAATATTAACAGATTTGAGCTGTTTACACTCATCTTTACTGCTTCAGTGTTTGTTTATGTGCACATGCATTTATTTTAGATATTTTAGAGTCAGTTAAATAAAAGAAAAAAGAATGGAGAAGTAACTCATATCAGTGTGAATTGTCGTCTCTGTACTACTCCTTCATATTCATAGAGTCGTATGGAAGGTAATATGAAGGATTGGCATTTAAAAGCCTCAGCTATTCCTCTGTAGAGCTAAAGAATGAAGCTTGAGTAAGATACTTCATTATCTAAGCACATAAATAAAACCATAAGCATACTTAGCTATTCAGTTCTAATCCACTAATAAAATGATGTGGAAGTAGGAATCAGATAGTAGAAATCTTACTATCATTGATGAAAATAAGAAAAATGATTCTTTCCTAACCCATCCCAGTATCCCACTTAATTTCTCTATATCAGTAAAGCATTCATTCTTAAACACAGCTACAAAAATCTACCAGGATTTCTATGTATATGATGCATTTAGAAAGATATCAACTATCTATTTATCTAATAATCAGTGAACTCATTAGTGAGTATAATTGCAAGCAGTATTCAATGAAACTATATAGTATGAAATATAAACTATGTTTTTATTCTATTGTAGAGAAAACATGTGCTATAGTAAAAAAAAGTGATAGAAATAATAAATGATATAATTTATAATGAAATAAGTTAATTCCACCATTATGTAATGAAATAAAATAAAGACTTGGTTTTCAAATTATTACAGTACTTAATGAATGAAGACTTTCCTGAGGGAGGTTTGTTGGTGAAGGAGAAACGCAGGAGAATATAATCACTCCTGCCTGTGGGAGAAGATGAGTGAGAAGTAGTGAAAGTCAGTGAGTGAAACAACAATTGCCAGATATTTATTCATATCTAATCACAAGGAATTGTCAGCATCTCCTCCAGTCCTTACTGATGTAGGAAGTAGGGAGAACCATTGCAGAAAGACACACACAAACAGAATGAACATCTGTTTGGGTTTCCTTTGCTTACAAATTATACAGTTTCTGCTAACACAAGACTATACTGGCAATTCACTTTTTAAAAATGATATGTCTGCCCTACCCTCTCCTCATAAGGAAATGGCAATTATTTTCCATATCTTCTAAGCTTAAAAATTTTTATAATTATGTTTATTTATTTTTAATTGATCGATGATTGATTTGCCACAGATCAATAAGAATTAACCATAAGTATACATATTTCACCTCCCTCTTGAAACTCCCTTCCACCTCCCACCCTTTCCTACCCATCTAGGCTATTACAGAGCCCCAGTCTGAGCTCCCTGAGTCATGCAGAAAATTTCCACTGGCTATCTATTTTACATATGTTAGTGTATATGCTTCCATGCTACCATCTCCATTCATCTCACTCTCTCCTTCTCTCCCCCACCTTGTCCGTAAGTCTGTTTTCTAATGTCTGTGCCTCCATTGCTGCCCTGAAAATAGGTTCATCAGTGCCATCTTTTAGATTCCATATATATGCATTAGTAAGTATGGAGCTTCCCTGGTGGCTCAGCTGGTAAAGACTCTGCCTGCAGTGTGGGAGACCTGGGTTCGATCCCTGGTTTGGGAAGATCCACTGGAGAATGGGAAAGGCTACCCATTCCAGTATTCTGGCCTGGAGAATTCCGTGGACTGTATAGTCCGTGGGGTTGCAAAGAGTCAGACATGACTGAGTGATTTTCACTTCTGACTTACTTCACTCTGTGTAGTAGGTTCTAGGTTCATTCACCTCATTAGAACTGACTCAAATGTGTTCCTTTTTATGGCTGAGTAGTATTCCATTGTATATGTGTACCACAGTTTGTTTACCCATTCATTTGTTGATGGACATCTAGGCTGCTTCATTCATGTCCTAGCGATTGTAAATAGCACTGCAATGAACAATGGGATAAATGTGTCTTTTTCAGTTTTGGTTTCTTCAGGGTATATGCCTAGAAGTGGTATTGCTGGGTTGTATGGTGGTTTTATTCCTAGTTTTTAAAGGAATCTCCACACTGTATTCTGTAGTGGCTATATCAATTTACATTCACACCAGCTTTGCAAAATTGTTCCCTTTTCTCCACAACTTTCCAGCATTTATTGTTTGTGGATTTTTTTGACGATGGCCATTCTGATCACTGTGAGGTGATATATCAATGTAGTTTTGATTTGCATTTCTCTAATAGTGAACAATGTTGAGCTTTCTTCATGTGATTATTAGCCATACATTTGTCTTCTTTGGAAGAAGTTCTGTTTAAGTCTTTTGCCTGCTGTTTGAATTGTTTGCTTTTCTGGTATTGAGTTGTATGATCTGCTTGTATATTTTAGAGATCAATCCTTTGTCAGTTGTTTCATTTACTCCTATTTTGTCCCATTCTGAGGGTTGCCTTTTCACCTTGTTTATAGTTTCCTCTGCTGTGCAAAAGCTCTTAAGTTTAATTAAGGTCCCACTTGTTTATTTTTGTTTTTATTTCCATTATTCTAGGAGGTGGGTCATAGAGGACCTTGCTATGATTTATGTCATAGAGTGATGTGTCTATATTTCCTTCTAANATCTTAAGCCTATGGTTTGTTTATTTAAAAGAATGGGCAATAACAATAAAAAGGTAAAGAGGAGTGTTCACTTTTTTCAGGTTAGAGAACCATTGTGTGTAAACTTTGTTCTATAATTTTATGGTTTTTTTTTAAAAAACATTCTGAGTATAGTTTCCACATCTAAATATTTGTTATAACAGACTCTGTTCTTATTCTTTCAGGTGTCATTTTCATTGAATAAAGGAAGTAATGAAGAAGGTATGGTATATGTTGGTTCTTAAGGAGCTAGATATGTAAATTTATTTGTTTACAGTACTGGAGTCCAAAAAAATGCAGTAGATTAAAAATGATATAAACTAAGTAAAGTGCATCCTAAAATAGTCACTAAAACTTGCAGATGAAATCAGTTGTTTTCTAATTTCAGAAAATAAGGAACACGTTTGTTACTTTTAGTCTGGAAAACAGTTTGTGCAGACTTTGCTGGTGAAGTCCTAAGTTTCCAGCTAGTTCAGATAAATTTTAAGACTTCTAATGTCTGCATTGGTGAGATTTTATTTATCATCTATCATTATTTTAATGAGTCACTCATTTTATATTCTTATTGCTTATTTATTTGGCTGCATCAGGTCTTAGTTGCAGCACGTGGGATTTTTGTTGTGGTGCGTGGGCTTCTGTCTAATTGCAGCGCATGGGCTTGGTTGCCCTGCAGCATGTGGGATCTTAGTTCCCCTGGGCCCCACCAGGGGTAGAACCTGTGTCCCCTGCACTGGAAGGCAAATACTTAACCACTGAACCACCAGGGAAGTCCCCACTCATTTTAACTGAAGATGTTAAAATCAAAATTTAAAGTAGAATTAAAAACAGAATTTTTAAATTACCATTATTTAAAGCTGTTGTGAGAAACAAAAATGTTCTGTAGTAAAAGCTTCAAAATATGTATGTGTTATCTAGCTCTTAAAATATTGCAAGGCTTTTTGTCTTTTTGTTTTAATATATTAGAATACTCAACTTGCAAGTTTGGAGGAAAAAATGAGAACTATTTGCTGTGAGTCCAAGTTCTAAGATGTTTAGAAAGGAGCAAATCTATAGACAATGATTTCATGGGGAGGCAAGCTCTGTTCCTTATAGGGGGAAGTAGCAGATTGTTTCTTTGCGATACTGTCCCATCTGGGCTATTTGACAGGCAGTCACATTTTACAGTACAGGGTTTGCCTAGACCTTTTGTGCCACAGCTAAGATGCTGAGCTTCAGTATTAATCAGTAAAGGCTAAAGAACCCAGCAAGATGCATGGAATAAAGTGGGAGCCTCTAGAATATCAGACCTGAGCCAAATGAGAGAGCTTAGAATGAGAGTTTAAAGGTGAGTGCCTTTAAGTATAGAAATGTGTCACCCTAAGTTCTGATTGTTTTTATCTGCCTAAATACTTCTAGAAAGTCTAAATTTAATTTGTCTTCTCTTTTCTTCCCTCCTCCCTCCCTCTTCACCCCTTCCCTAACACCCTGCTTCCCCATTTTAAACGCAGATCAAGTATGGCACTTCCTTGGCCAGTGATTAGAACATCTGAAGGTCTTCCATCAGGATTCCAGTCTCTAAGAATGCCGAGATTCAATCTCCCCCAAGTGCTAGAAACAGGCAGAATTTGCTCATTAACTTCCTATTGAAACTTCTTTTTTTTTTTTCCTTCAAGCTTTTTGCAATATGCAATGTGTAAATAAACATTGACATTTTTGAATTAGTTGCCTTTGAATATTTATTGATATGAAAAGATTTTGTTGAATTTCATAGGCAGATGTTTAGAGGCACTGAGTTTTTTTTAAATTAGTTTAATTGAAGGCTAATTACTGTACAATATTGTGGTGGTTTTACTATACATTGACGTGAATCAGCCTTGGGTGTATGTACATGTGTCCCCCATCCTGAACCCCCCTCCCACCTTCCTCCCCACCCCATCCCTCTGGGTTGTCCCAGAGCACCAGTTTTGAGTGTCCTGCTTCATGCATTGAATTTGCACTGGTCATCTATTTTACATATGGCAACATATATGTTGCAATGCTCTTCTCTCAAATCATCCCACCCTCATCTTCTCCCACATAGTCCAAAAGTCTGTTCTTTACATCTGTGCCTTTTTGCTGCCTTGCATGTAAGATCATCGTTACCGTCTTTCCAAATTCCATATGTACACCTCAGTACACTGTATCGCTGTTTCCCTTGCTGCTCTCTTCGTGTTTAATCTCTGTTAGCTTGATTAGTATGTGTTTCGACGAGTTTCTCCTTGGGTTTCTCCTGCATGGGCCTGCACTTCTTGGACTTGATTGACTATTTCCTTTCCCGTGTTTGGGGAGGTTTTCAACTATAATCTCTTCAAAACTTTTCTCAGTGCCTTTCTTTTTCTCTTTTCCCTCTAGAACTCCTATAACTCTAATGTTGGTGCATTTAATATTGTCCCAGAGGTCTCTGAGACCATCCTCCGTACTTTTCATTCTTTATCCTTTACTCGGCTCTTCAGCAGAATTCACCATTCTATCTTCCAGCTCACCTATCTGTTCTTCTGCTTCAGTTATTGTACTTTTGGTTCTTTCTAGAGTATTTTTAATTTCAGTAATTGTGTTATTCATCTCTGTTTATTCTTTACTTCTCTTATGTCATTGTTAACTGTATTAATTGCTTCTTATATTTACTCCGTTCTATTTTAGAGGCTTTGGAATATCTTCACTATCATTATTCTGAATTCTTTTTCAGGTCTTATTTGGTCTTGTGAGTTTTGACTTTGTTTATTCCTTTGTGCTATATTTCTGTCTTTTCATTTTTTCTCCCCAACTTACTCCATTTGCGATCTCCTTTTCCCAGGCTTTAAGGTCGCATTCCTTCCTCCTTTTGGTTTTGCCCTCAGTGGTTAAGGTTGGTTCAGTTGTCTGTGTTGACTTCTTGTTAGGGGTGACTTGTGCCTGCATTCTAGTGGGAGGAGGTGAGTTGGGAGGTTTTTGTTGTTGTTGTTTATCTTTTTTTTCCTTCTGATAGGCAGGACTGTGTGAGGTGGTATAGTTTGGAGTGTCTGTGGGAATCTTGTCAGCGATGATTATTTTTGTGTTTTTGTCTTGCTTGTTCTTTGAGTGAGGTGTCCTAAACTGGGTGTCTTGGCAACTGGGTGATACCAGACTTTGTGTACAGGTGTCGGACTTCATGGAAGTTCTCAATAATTAATATCCCCTGGGGTTAGGAGTTCTCTGGCAGTCTGGGTTCCTGGGCTGAGGGCTCCCACTTCAGTGGTTCAGCCCGAATCCCTGGATGGGAGACTCCAGAAGTCATTTTTTATGGGATTAAAGGGGATTAAAACAAACATACCAAGACAAAAAGCAAAACATAACAAGAGATAAAAGATGAACCTACATAAATTGTTAATACAAGGTCAGGTAGATAATTACAAAAGCAATGGGACATATACACACCCTTACACACACACAAATACACCCAATGTATTCCAAAGAAAAGAAAGTACAAGAGGTTGACTTGGTGAGCAAAGGAAACCAAAAGTGATACTGACCAATTAAAAACAGGGTTAGCTAAAACTCAGACTGGAAAACTGAGCCAAAGCAGAGTGTCAGCTGGGGAATATAGCAAAGAAAACATAAATTAACATACCTGGTGAAAAAAGAAAGAGTGAAGGAAAAAAGAGAAGAAGGGAAATAAAAGAGAAAAGGAGGGGGCAGAAGAAAAGATAAAAGAAGAAAAATAGAAAAGCCAAGATAAATAGATATATATGAAAAAGATTTATATTTATTAAGGAATAGCTACAGCAGGAAAAACAATAAGAAAAACAGTCAAACAGAACAACAACAAAAAATCCCCAAAGAGGAATAAACAATTTTTTAAAAAAGATTTTAAAAAGGAAAAATCCATAGCATTGCAAAAGGCCAATGTAGAAGTAGAAGTATGTANGCTTGATTTGTGACCCAAGATGTGATCTATCCTGGAGAATGTGCCATTTGCACTTTAGAAGGAAGAGTGTTTTTCTACATTTGGATGGAAAATCCTGAAGTTATCAATTAGGTCCATTTGGTCTTATGTTTCATTTAATGTTTGTATTTCCTTATCAATTTTCTGTTTTTATGATCTGTTCTGGTTGACAGAGATGGATCTTCTCTCTCTGAAGGGCAGCACTGTGTCCAGTAGTAGATTTTGGGGTGTCTATGGGTTAGATATGGCTTTGGGCAGCCTGTCTGCTTGTGTGCAGTGTTGTGTTTCTGTTTTATTGAAGGATTATGTGGGGTATCTGGGCACTGGTGCTTGCTGGCCTTTGGGTGGGCTTGGTTTTGGTGTTGAGATGGAGGCAGTTGGGAGGGCTCTCATCTATTAATGTTCTGTGAGGTCATGAGTTCTCTGATGGGTTTGAGATTAGGTCTCTCATCTCAGGTGTTCAGGCTCAATGCATATTGAAGCTCCAAGACCTCACAAGCCATACAGCACAAAAGACAAGTTTCTAATACTCTTGGTGAGGGCAATACTCAGCAGCCCAGAACACTCAGCAAGGCTTATTACAAAGTCCTCTAATGTTTCTAGAAAGGTCTTTGGGCCTGTTTTGGGCAGCGGGGGTTAATTCAATCTCAGATATGGCCTTATTCCAGCTTGCAGTTGCTCCTAATATTCACGGTTGCCTCTGGAGTCCCCAGTCTGCTCCTCACCTGGACATGAGGGGGCAAAGATCGAGGCTCACTAGGACTCATTTGCTCTCTTGAGCTGAGAAAGGGGAGGATATGGCAGCCACATTTGTGTTGTACTGGAGAGTGGCTGTTGTGTCCTGTTGGATGTTGTTACAGTCTAAGATGGATCATGAGTTCTTCCAGAGGAAAGGGACCCAGTTTGTGGTTCCCTAGAAAGATCTCAGCTGTGAAAGCTGCCAGCAAGTTGTGGGGAGTAACCTGCACCTGGTCATAGCCTGGAGGTAGCTGCAACACCTGGGATTGGGATCACATCTATGGTGTTTTGTCTGCTGCCTCCAGCACCCCTCCTGGCTTTGGCAATGGTAGTCATGCCTATTTCCTCAGCCTTGTTTTTGTATCCCTCTCAGTGCATCCTCATAGCTGCTAGCCCCCTACCTCTCCCTGGAATCTTCACTGTAGCCTCTGGCCCTGGTCCCACCCTCTGCTGCAGGCTAAGCTTCCTAGCCACTCTTCCCAGCTGCCCGTCCCCACCCTCTGGTCTGGGCTGAGGCTTGTGAGCTACTTATGGGATGAGAAGAATTGTTGGGCAGCTTTCTGTGTATTTTGCCTTCCGAGACCCACTTTGAGGTTCCACAGCTCCTCTTTGGTCCCCCCTGAAAGGGGATTTCCTAGTGTGTGGAAACTTGTCCTCCTTCATGACTCCTTCCCTCCCTAGGGGCACAAACTCCTGTCCTGAAGTCCTCTGTATTTCTTTTTTAAATGTGTTTCTTTCATCCTACCTCATTCCAGGGAAATTAGTTTGCCTTTTGAGAGGTGTGGGGTCTTCTGTGGTCATTTAGAAGTTGCTATGTAGGAGCTGTTCCATATTTTGATGATTTAAAAGAAAATGTATTTGTGGGGAGCAGGCAATCTCTACCATCTTCTCCACCCTCTTTTTTTTTAGCTTAAAAAATTTTTTTATTGATGTATGGTTGATTTGGTTGATTTCTTTAATGATCCACTTGTAGTTTAATAACATATGCATTGGGGCTTCCTTTGTAGCTCAGTCAGTAAAGAATCTGCCTGCAGTACAGGAGACTCAGGTTTGATCCCTGGGTTGGGAAGATCCCTTGCAGAAGGAAATGGCAACCCACTCCAGTATCCTTGCATGGAAAATCTCAGAGACACAGGAGCCTGGTGGGCTTCAGTCCATGGGGTTGCAAAGAGGCACGACTGAAGGACTATCACTTACTTACTTACTTAACATATGTATAGCCTCAAAGTGTTTGTGTTTTTAACAGGTTTTCTCCCTTTAATTGATTTCTGATCTCATAGCATGCTCTATATGATTTCTATCTTCTTCAATTTACGAAAGATTGATTTGTGATCCAGATGATATCTATCCTGGAGAATGTTTTGTGTACACTTGAGAAGGGACTGTATTTTGCTGCTTTTGGATGCAATTCCCTATAAATTAAGTCTATCTATTAAGTCTATCTGGTCTAATACATCATTTAAGGCTTGAGTTTTTTTTTTAATTAATTTTCTATCTGAGTGATCTGTACCTTGACATAAGTGAAGCTCTAAAATCCCCCACTATTACTGTGTTACTGTCAATTTCCCTTTATGACTGTTAGTGTTTGCCTTATCTATTGACGTGCTCCTGCGTTGTGTGCATATATATCTCCCACTGTTTTATTTTCTTCCTGGATTGATTCCATAATAATTATGTGTGGCCTTCCTGCCTCTTGTAACCATCTTTATTTTAAAGTCTATTTTATTTTTCTGATATGAGTATTGGTATTCCAACCTTCTTTTGATTTCCGTTTACCTGGAATATCTTTCTCCATCCCCTCACTTTCAGTCTGTTTCCATAGGCCTTAAGTGTGTCTCTTGTAGATAGCCTATATAGTGGNACAAATCTTATTTTCTTGGGCTCCAAAAGCACTGCAGATGGTGACTATAGTCTCAAAATTAAAAGACACTTGTTTCTTGGAAAAAACACTATGACAAATTTAGACAATGTATTAAAAAGCAGAGACATCACTTAGCCAACAAAGGTCCATTTAATCAAAGCTATGGTTTTTCCAGTAGTCAT